GGAGTCAGTCACACCGCAGCACTGAACACAGCACCTGAGCTCGGACTCTGCTGTGAGGAAGAGAGTCCTTCACATTCACCTCAACCTGACCCTGGATTCAGATACTTTGTGATTGCATTTCAACCCATTTTTCATTTACACTTCTTTGCTGTTTGCATTATTCTATTACATTGCGCAGTACAGTATCAGTGTTTGTTTGGCATCAGTGTTCTGGAGGAGAGCCAGTGACATTGTGATCTCACAGGACAGACAACTTAATAACCATTTAAACTGGGCTCGGTTCCTCACAAAACATCATTCCAATGCAGCGCATGAGTCACGATGGCGTTCAGATGTGTTTCGTTGTTTCCAGAGTTCTTATTCACTCCATCAGCTCATGCACTGAACATGAACACGAACACATGGCACGGATAACGTCAGTGTGTGTTGTGTGATGTTTCTGTGTGTTAGCGAGTGAACTCACACTCTGCTCGCCGTTGTCTTTAAAGCTCAGGCCGAAGTAATCCTTCTCCAACAGATTCAGGTGGTCGCAGACTTGAAAAAACAGGTACTGGCCTTTCGCCCGTTTCTAGAGAGACAATGAAGAAGAAAGATATGAACACACTTTACTCACACAGACCATTCTGTCATAATTGACTCACTCTCATGCTCTCATGTCATTCCAAACCTGCAAGTAAATGGGGTCCAAAACAAACAAAACTTTCATTGTATAGACAGCTTTTTAGATTCTATGGAAGAAAGACTATAATGGTGAGTAAATGAGGACAGAAGTGTGATTTTTGGCTGGTATGTAAAGTATTCCTGTAAAGTCGCTCTGAAGCACCGGGTCATAATGGGCCTGTTGGACACTGGCAGACAGTGGGCTGAAGTGGTCAGCGTGAGTGTGAGTGTGTGTGACTCCTGAGGAATGAGAGGCTGGTTGGAGCTCAACAGCATTAGTCACTGAGGAACAGCGCTGCATTCATCTGTCAGACATCCCATGCATTCAAGCGCTTATGCACAGCTTTTAACAAGTCATGTTTTTTTGCAACCACAACAAAACAAAAACTTAAATGTAGTTATCCATCCACCTATGTCTCACGCCCCATGATGCTTTGCACACATTATCGGCCCCAAATCTCAAACAAGTCAATATTAAATATTACTGTAGTAGGGGTGCTCCGATCAGGGTTTTTGAGGCCGATCACAGAAAGCAGTATCTGCCGATACGATCACAGATACCCCATCTTTTCTAAGCCATGTAGAATTATTTATAGTGATGATCCAATCAAGATTTTTAGACATTTATTCAGGGCCTGAATTTCATTTTTGAAAATGATTTCCCCTCTTAGGAGACGCCTGTGAGAGGGGATTTTTTCATTTGAGGGGTGGAGGGGGACATTTTTTAGACATTTTTCAAAAATATATATTTATCTCACATAAATGTTTGATCATGCAGTGCATTTTTGTTTTGACAATCGTGCAGTTGTTGCACAATAGGTTACACACAGCGCAAGCCTGATTTGGTGAGCTGTATATGAGGTTCACACATACTCCATTTGCAGTGCGTATGCAGTCTATGTGCGGTACATAAGCAGTGCAGAAGCAGCACGGACTGTGCTTTCACACAGGAGTCTGCAACTGATCCAGGGCCGTTTACAAACACAACATTTATCCATTTTGATTTCAAATCCAAACATTGTCACTGAAAATGCTTTTTCAACATTGTGATTCTTTTTTTACACAGTACAGTAATACAATCTTTCATAGACATGTTTAAACACAATAAATATAAGCAACACATTATTCAATGCTTTTTACTTTTGTTCATAAAGAACTTTGTTTTCCTACCTCCACGAGTGCCATCTATTACTGCCTTGTTTATCTAAAAGTGCTCTTTCCCTTTAAACCTAGCCAAAAAGCCATAGCCTATGTGTGACTGTGAAACACAGGAGACTTTAATTATATGCATTTATGTTGTCAGACACTTCTTTTCATGGAATAAATTAGGAATGGCTGACAGCAACAACATCTGATGCTGCATCTGTGCCAGGTGTCAGTTTAAGTCTCTCAATCAACTACACGCACATAAACAAAAACAGAGAGAGAGTATTAATCTGTCTGGTTATGACACGACACACAGAACACCATAAGCTGCTGTTATGGATGCAATTACACAAACTAATCCCAGTGTTCACTCGCAGCAGATTTACTGATGAGAGATCAGACGTTACGCTCTGTAAACACAACACACACACAAACACACAGCTAATGGATTTCAGTTTGCAGTGGATCGATAGTGGCTGTTCCTGCATTGGTGAAGTGCATTAGGTGAACAGCGAGAGCAAACAAACACTAGTGTATCACACACAGCACGGCTCTCTGATGATAACGTGTCGATGGCCACAGAAAGCCGCAGGTGCTCATGGGTGGAGATGTGCGTCTATGGTGTCGGCACAACAAACCAGAGCAGAAACATCACTTGTGTTGCTCAACACACACACACACGAGGAGAGCATGAATGTCAGATGATCCTGATCCAGAGTAAAGGAAGTGACTGTGTGATGATTTCACCACAGTAAAGCACTGCTAGCCATTAAACAGTGACAACTAGGATGATGATGATATATGGATGAACATGGAAATAAAGTTGCAGGAGATGTGTGATATTAAAAGAAGTTAATAAAAGCATAATACGCTCCTGGGGACAATAAAAACTCAATTTGGAAGCACGTGCACTGAAGAGTCAAATTCACAAACAATTATGTCAAAATGCATTTCTTGGTGAGTATTCATGTAAACCAAGCAGTCAGTTCTGTCTTAAGTGAATGTAAACAGTTGGGAGAACATCTAAATGCTTAGTTTGTTAATGCAATGCAATGCAATGATGACTGAGAAATGAACAAACAAACGTTCCTCAAAAGATCCTGATGATCAGATTTGAGACTTTTCTAAAAAGTGAATGTCTGGAGAATCAAGCCGAGCTGCTTCAGTCCAGTAAGTGTTCATCTGGAAATATTACTACAGTTATTTTGATGTTTACTTGATAAAAATCAGTCAAGATTTGACAGCAGAAAGACACTGAAGCAGCAGCTGAAGCTGGACGTTTCTACAATTACACTAAAGGAGCTTTTACTGGAGAAAAAAACAAACAAACTATCAATCAGACGACAGAAGGAGTGGAGTAGATTGTGTATCACAGATTTTGATCATGTTGAAAAATCTAAAAAATCTGCAGCATTTCAAATATGATACAGTAGGCTTTATAGGCTTAACAGATAAATGGCCAGGTACTCAAGTCTTTGGGAGGAGCTGTATGAGCTGCTGTTACTCATGTACAGAAGTGAAGGATGCATTGGATTATTATGAGCAAATGCCTAGCAGCTACAAGATCACATGCTCGGAGAGACATGCATGAGCAGACTAGATCTATGAGAAAGAAAAGAAACTAAAGGATCAGAGAGAGTACATGAATGAATGACAGCCAAAGCCTAAAAGAACACGATGAAAGAAAGAAGATGAATGAGAACAAAAGAAGGAACTCTAACTCGCAGACTCAATAATAGCATGAATAAATTCATTGTAAAGTCCTAGAGAATCACTGACGGGATGTTTGAGCAGGGTTTACACAGGATCGGGGACGAACAGGAGAAACCAGAGAGAGTGACTGTGAATGAACGTCCTGAAGCATTAGCGTCAAACACAGCTGAGGCCTCAGAGAGCCCAGATCAGGGTCTCCGTCTCCTCATGATGGCCATATTACTCAACATACCGCACCGCCATGAAAAAAAAAAGTATGCTTCCACGAAAACACACTCAGGGACAGGATATCTGCATTTACAGCATTAAAAACATAACGCCATATGCATCCTGCTGTTATATAGGTCACCGCACTCTGATTGGCTGAGAGTTCCTGTCAATCGTCTATTCGCTTTCTATAGAGACAAGAATCTATCCTGCCATCAGGACAGAAACACAAAAATATGGTGCGGCAGCGCTCCTAACATCCATGCGGGGTCGTTGAGCAGTCCTGAGAGCCCTCATTGTCCCCACGTCCCCATAAAGCGTCACGTCTGGAATGCTTTGTGTGAAGCTGCGGCTTATGTGTCCGGGCGACCCGGAGACAGTGGCGCTCATCTCTGAGCAAACATGCCACCGTCTCATGCATGAATACACCAGGACAATGGCGCTTAGCAATGCCTCAGCACTTTCCGGTGATGGGACAAAGCCGAGGCCGTTCAGAGCTCACAGAGCGGCCCGTAATGAGAGCCCAAACCATCAATCATATCCCAACACTCACCTGCACTGACAGGTTCTCCTGTTCGGACGATTAGATTTACTGTGATAGCCTTCACATAGCACAGATGTCTAACTAGTTCTTAACATACTATTTAAGATAAATAGATGTCGTTTTCTAATATCTTATATTTATTAAAATGTGTAATAATTAAACATTTTATAAACATATCATGCTTTTAAATGCTCCTGTGTGTATCAGTGTTCTGTGAAGACATCTGGCACTGTGTAAAGGTTTCCATTTACAGCGTGTGCACCGTGTGTGTTTTTAAAGCGTTGAGTGTTGTAGCCAATCACAGACATGTCTGTTGAGCACATGAAAGCAATGGCCAATCAGAGGATGAGTATTTCAAAGCCTGTGTTTTTGTTCTGCACATTCACAAATCCCAAATTCCTATCTTTATGTACGTTTTTATATACACAAAGTCGGTTAAGAAAGAGAAAGTTGGGGGGGGGGGGGGGAATGCATCAGGATAGTAGGATCAGTGCATTGCTTCTCAAAGTGACACCAGCTTAAAATACCTGCTGCTGTCTGTGTCATTTTTGTCAATCAAACAACAAAAGACAAAGAGAAAAGAAAACCATTCACTGCTCTTGTTATTTCCAGCAAAAATGACTAAAAACGACTGTCATATATAAATTTAGATATAATTTTCTCTTGTCTTTTGTTGTTTGATTAACAATAACGCCACAGACAACAGCAGGTATATTAGGCTGCTGTCATATTAAGACCAAATGCACTTATCTAATATGGCATCAGACAATAATCAGAATCAGACAATAAGCTGTATTGCAATGTGGTGCAATTTGGGATTTAGGGATGGCACTAAAATGCATTGTTCACTTGCAGAACGCAAGCTTCTAGAGGGCGCATAAGTCTGAAGTAGTGAATTTAGGGAAAGGGGTGCAGAGCCAGGGGTGGTTTTGTAGGCAAACATTAATGTCTTGAATTTAATGTGAGCAGCTACTGGTAGCCAGTGCAAATTGATGAACAGAGGTGTGACACTTTTTTTTTGTCTCGTTAAGGACTACTCTTGCTGCCAAATTAGTTGCAGCGGTTTGATAGAACTGGCTGGAAGTCTTGCCACGAGAGCATTGCAATAGTCCAGCCTGGACAGAAGAAGAGCTTGAACAAGAAGTTGTGTAGCATGTTCCGAAAGAAAGGGCCTGATCTTCTAATGTTGTATAAAGCAAATCTGCAGGACCGGGCAGTTTTAGCAATGTGGTCTGAAAAAGTCAGCTGATCATCAATCATAACTCCAAGGTTTTTGGCTGTTTTTGAAGGAGTTATGG